TAAATCTTAAATATATTATTGTTGCACCCATCAAAAATATGGGATTTATTTCAGCTGTTTGTTAACTATAATACAACCTTGAAATGTTCTATTTAGTCTTTTTAAATGGTCTGCTTCTATTAAATCTGTTTTCAGTTCTTGGTAATATTAAAGTATGCAAAAAAACATGCGTTTCTTTTCCATTTAAAAAAAATGCTGGTAACCTTGCTACTAGATTGATAAGCTCTAAATCTGCCATTTCTTCCGTATATGGTACTATTACAATATGGTCTGAATTATGATCAGTTTTCCATTTCTCTGTAGTTCCTTCATTCTGGTATAGCAGTCTTTCTCTCCATCATGAGTTAGTCTCTTATTAATTTTTTAATTAAGGCTAATGGAGCTTTTATGATTTTGAGCAAATATAATTCAGTGTCATTCAAATAATTCATACCAATACAATGCTGATTGTTACAACCGTAAAATATGTACTCAATAAAATTTCGAAACAATGAATGTTTTTGGGTATTTTTATTAGGTGTTTTGTCTAACTCATTCAGTTCAGACAACTCATTGCTGTTCTAACTTGAATACGTATTAAAGGTAGCTGAAATATTTTTTAATTTGTTTACTTTTTAGTTAAGTGATTATAGCGCTTGTGATTTTCTTCCTTTCCCATTTTGATTTACATCAAGAAAAACTTCGATAAATATTTGCCAGCTATTTTGCAACTTGGATGCATATTTAACAACTGTTTGAATTTAGCTGTAGTCTATTTTATGTTGACAGCTAATTTCGCTTGTGCATAACTTCGTTGTTTATCCGTACTGTGGAATAGGAAGCATGTCCATTTTATTTATTGGTGTGGTCACTCTCGGAATTTACATCATCTGAGAGACTCCGTGGTTCTAATGTTAAAGGGGTTTTATGTGTTTTTGTATTTTCTCCAAGTGTATGTTCTTTGTATTATTTTATTTTCAAACACAAATTTGATTTATGATTTTGATAAAGGTTTGTACACCATTCGAATTAGTTATGTTCCAATATTTTTCAGGTTATTGATCAATTTATTTATAATTCTCTACATCAGAGTATCTTTTATTACATAGAAGTTTTAAATTCTAGCAAATTCAATAGCCTAGCCTGCTAATTTCCAACTAACTTAAGCCAGTCGTAATCAAAAATAAATACATTTTCAAAACAGCTCGACACACTTCGTTCAGTTTGTGACATATTGGAGAAAGTGCAATAATTGTTCGCCGATTTTGAAATTCGGACAAGAACCTGACCCGCAGTGCCGTTTGCATTCGGGTAGTCTTGGATTTCACCATTGACCGAAAAGTAAGATCCGAACAACCTAGAGTCCGCAGTAAATATCATTAATGTACATTGTGATGCCTTTTAATTCTGGTGGCAAAAACAAATGTTGATTGTGGTAAATTGATGGTGATTGCTGGTTTCATGCTTCTATAGTGCATTGATAACTCCTGAAACATACATATTGCTTGAAAATTCACGTCAGTACTTATTACAATCACTTAAACACTTACAGGCGCAAAAAGGATAAACTAGCAGGGATGTAACTACCGAGGGGTGCGGACTCGTATCTTCCCTTGTGTTATATTAGTTCAGGTTAGGCTCCCAATTTTATTTGTAACAAACCCATGTGGCATAAGTTGCTCAGCTAAGTCCAAGTCCATTAGTCTCATGGCGCTCTCAACCGTGAGCACCATGTGCACGTGCTAACCAATTTTCTCCAATTTAAGAATGTTTGAAATTATGTTATTTCAGTTTGCATACATTTAGAAGTTAGAGTCATATTTATAAGATTTATAATCATTTTATATATATATATATATATATATATATATATATATATATATATATATATATATATATATATATATATATATATATATATATATATATATATAACTATCATAGCCTAAAGCAATACCTAAGATAGTTCTAAGTAGAGTAAGCAGTCGAAATAGTCTATTAGTATGTCGATGGTCAATTAGTTAAATGTTCTTTAATTCCTTTTCGAATATTCCTCGTTTTTGTAACAAGTCTATCATAATATTTCCGGATCCATGATAACTTCCAACTGAAAACAAAATTTCACCACTTTATCCAATTCATAATATGTTTGCAATGCACTCAGTAGTTTAAAATGTGACCCATTAGTCCATTTCCGTTCGGTTCATTTTCTTGCATGAGTCTAATATCCCTGTCCTTAGATTCATTTTCTTGCATGAGTCTCTGTATCACTATCCTTAGATTCATTTTATTGCATGAGTCCTGTATCCCTGATCTTATATTCATTTTCTTTCATGAGCCAGAGTGATATCACGATACATTTCTTGTCATTGTAATAATTGATCTACCACTATTGTCTAATATTCTAACGGATTTTCACCTTATGACCCAACCTATAACAAACCCTGCATCGTATTCCTTGCAAGTACCAAAACGAAATTAATCGTTTTACTTTATGAAAATATGATAATTGTTATATTTATGAACTTATTACAACTGCTGAATATTGCATTTAATCCCGAAAGTATGGTCTAATAACATTTTCAAAATAAATAAATATCGTGTACAAATAAATATCGTGTACAAAAACAGAAAGTCAAATTTTTTGCGGTTCATGTTCAGAATAAAAATAAAACCAATACAGCATTTGGTTTCTAATATAGAATCGAAGATCCCTGGTTTTACCTTGAAGTCTGGTCTAGCAAGTCCACCAGGAGTTATCTTGTGAGTCTTGTCTACAAAGTTATCCCAGAATTTATCCTGTGGGTCTGGTTTTGCAAGACCCCCAAAAGAGATAGAGTCCTTTTTGAGTATTGAGCTAATAAAACTATAGCTGAATAGAAAAATATATGATTTACACATAGGTGGGTCGCACTATGTAAAGACTGCAGAATCACAGTAATTAAAATGAAGTCGAGCAATTATGATTTCATGTTTTAAATAAAGTTTTGATATTGCTACACTTTGCAAACAACACCTTAATTGTTAAATAAAAAACACATATTAAGTAAATCTGAAACGTTAGCCTCATTTATGTTCATGAAAAGGTGCCCTTTAAATAAAGAGGTGAGTGTAGTTGTTGGAAGTGGACACTGAAAGCAGTAAAAATATATTTAAAAAAACACAATGTTTCATTGTTATAGATGTTATGTATAATATTGTTGAGAACTAAAGGCAGAGTTTCGCAATGTTATAATCAAAAGAGTTTATACAATTTCTTCTTTTCGTCTTCTTCCATTTCTTCTTGTTTTTTTTTTTAGATGACTAAGATCAGACGTTTTCCTTTCTCCACCTATTCATACTAGAGCTCTAAACCCCCCTCTCGAACGGTTCATTCTAGAGCTGCAGGTACCCTTAGTGTCTTTAACATTTGATTTCTGAATGAGGTACATTGAAGCAAAATTTTAAATCTTGAAGGGCCATGAATAACTTATATTCAGACAAATAAATAATGGGAATCAGTCTGTCTTGTAATATTGGGGATCATACCGTATGTACTTATAATTCGAGTCCAGCTGCAAACAACTTATACCCTGATCTGACTTCGCACAATGTGCCGACAGATCAGGGTTTGTGTCGGTTGTTATCCTGATAACTCCTAACCAACTGTACAGATGTTCAAATGATCAGATGTACAAACAAATGTTCTTTCGGAACATTTAGCGACGTAAAATCTAGGCATGTGAAATTTCCAGTTTTGCTAGACTGATAAGTTAGTACAGACGGTACCAAATTTGGTTTAATTCCGTACAGTGCTCTCAAATTTAATATTGTATCAAGCGTAATAAATTTAATTATGCCACGTTAAAGTTCTAGCTAAAGATTGCGATAACTCTGTAACATATAGAAAATTAAAACTTTTCTAAAAATAGATTGTCGATGGTCACTTTAATACGAAGAGTCGTACTAAATTTAGTTTAAAGACATAAAAAACTATGACATTAAAAAATTTGTATTGCTGCGTTAAGTGTATAAATAGATCAGCCATACACCTGCACTCCACGTCTGAGTTTGTACGATATAACATTACAAACTATTTTTCCAAGTGATTTATATTTTCCTGTATAATCCGATACAGAATTAAGTTATAGGTTTTATCACTAACAAACAAATGTTTCCCGGAGAGACATCGATGAACAAAAGGAAAAGCAATTTAGAAATTGAATAACTGCCCGTTAAATACCGTACGTTGATCCCTTCAAAGTTCTAGCTAAAGCTGGCGATAACTCTGTCACACATGGAAAATTATGCCAAGTCAAAGTTCTAGCTAAAGCTGGCGATAACTACGTAACATATTAAATACCATACATTAATCCCATCAAAGAATAGGGATACCGTAGATCTGAGCCGAATAAATTAGGTTAAGTATCTATTAGAAAGCAAGGTTATGCTAATAAATAACTAGAATAGTACAAACCCTCGAGATCGAAAAAAGGAATTAAGGTTTTCAAGATCGGAGAAAGTAACTAATACTTACGTCACTTTTCTTTTAAAAGACTTTTAAAGTTACAAATATGTAAAACTATTTATCATATAATATTTTCGAATAAGAATATATATATATATATATATATATATATATATATATATATATATATATATATATATATATATATATATATATATATATATATACAATTCTGATCTGATGAAATGAAAACTCCTTAGGACAGTTGCGTACATATATTGATGTGTGTCAAACACATATTTATATGTATATTTTATGCGTGTACATAATTAAGAAATCTATGGATAAGTGTGTGTGTGTGTGTATTGGATTTTTAATGTAGCTTTAACATATCTAGACATATTGTTACGATGTCTGCATTATGGCAGTTCATAGTGATGTCTAACAATGGGGCATCAAGCCGCAGACATATAGCATGATGTCCCACCAATAGCCTGCTAGTCCTAACGCTAACCTCTTAATGGTGTGAGCCTAGAGAGGCAGCTCTTAGTATCATTTTTAAATATCTTTGGTATGACTCGGTCGAGTTTAAAACCCATGATCTCCAGCAGCTGAGGCAGACGCCCTAACCACTAGGCCACCGGATTGGTACCTGCGGATAAGAACCAATTCTCTATCCAATATCAGTGAAACTAGTTACCGTATGTAAGTCCAGTCCAACTGCAACCTGTACAGAGATATGGTGTCGCATAATGTGTCTGAAGATCTGGGTCTATAAAGTTTCTTAGGAGTAATCAGTAGAACAACACACACACACCAAATACAACAACACGATAATGTTTGGAAATAATATTTAAAGAATTTTAAGAGTAAGCCTAACAACCTCTTCGTAATGGTAGGTATTTTTATTGATCAGAATTTTGTGAAACTTGTTTACGATTTGATTTAAAAACTTAAAATCATTTTAGTGTGTAGTTGACATCAATTCATCCTAGTTTTCATGTACAGGGCAATACTACTTTCCTATTTAAGTACATAATATTTATGTTCCTTCAGCACTTTAAAATCTCTCTCTCTTTCCACACACACACACACACACACACACACACACACACACACGCACACACACACACTCCTTTTTACAAAAAAGGCAGAATGTCAAATGTTTGCGGTTCATGTTGAGAAATAAATAAAATCAATACAACATTCGATTTCTAATATTGAATCGAAGATCCCGGAATTTACCTTGCAGTCTGGTCTAGTAAGTCCCTCCAGGAGTTACCTTGTGGGTCTTGTTTACAAAGGAATCTCATAATTTATCTTGTGGCCCTAGTTTTGCCAAACCCCCAAAAGAGATGGAGTCTAAATTAAATCCTTTTTTAGATCGAGCTAATAAAAATATAGTTGAATAGAAAAATACGATGTACAGATAGCTGGGTCACATTGTGTAAAGAGTGCAGAATCACAGTAAATAAAATGAAGTCAAACAATTATGATTTCATGTCTCAAATAAAGTTATGATATAGCTACACTTTGTATAAAACATCTGACATATTTAATCAAAAACATGTCTTTAAGTAAATATGAAATTTCCATGAGAAGTTATCCTCATCCATGATTATGAAAACACCTGTTAAATAAACACGTGAATTTAGCGCAGCATCTAGTGGTGGTGGATAGGATCAGAAGATAATTTGAAAACTCTGTCAAATGAAATAAGGAAATAATTTCTTTATTCTACCAGTATATTCTTGTTAAAATATGGGAGAAAAAGGAGGATGAGATTGGATTGTCTCTAAGACTTTATAACTGATTACAAGGATGAAAAAAACTGCGTCTTCTAAATATTGAAATATATCTTTCGTCTGTATATCCAGGCTTTGGAACAATGTAGATCTGTATTTGGTGGAAGTAGGCACTGACAACAGCAATATATATATATATATATATATATATATATATATATATATATATATATATATATATATATATATATATATATATATATATATATATATATATATATATATATATATATATATATATATATCATTGTTATATATGTTATGTATAATTTCTTGAAAACTAAAGGCAGAGTTTCGAAATGTCATAATCAAAGGCGTTTATACAATTTCTTCTTCCTCCTCAACCGCTCCGGTGGCATAGTGGTTAGAGCGTCCGCCTCGGATGTGGGAGGTCGTGGGTTCTATCCCCGGTCGAGTCATACCAAAGACCTACAAAAATGGTACTAACAGCTATCTCGCTTGGCGCTCAGCATTAAGAGGTTAGTGCTAGGACTGGTCGGCCTGGTGTCCGGATAATGTGACAGGGTGGGACATCATGCTTCATGTCTGCGGCATGATGCCCCAGTGCTAGATATCGCTATAAACTGCCACACTGCAGACATATGACTGAAAAATCGTTAAAGCTACGTTAAAAGTCATAATCACATCACATCGTCCTCCTCAACTTCTTTAGGTGACTATGATGAAACTAGTTTTTCTTTCTCGAACAGTTCATACTAGAGCTCCAAGTACCCTTAGTGTCACTAACATATGATTTGTGAATGATGTACATTGAAGCAAAATTTTAAATCTTGATGGGCCATGAATAGCTTAAATTCAGACAAATAAATAATGTAAATCAATCTGCCTTGTAATAATGGGGATCATACCGTATGTACTTATTATTCGGTTCCAGCTGCAAACAACGTACACCCTGATCTGACTTCGCATAATGTATCGACAGATCAGGGTTTGTGTCGGTTACTCCTAACCAATTGTACAGACCCAAATCTGCCAGAGCATTTAGCGACGTAAAATCTAGGCATGTAAAATTTACAGTTGGGTTAGACTGATAAGTGAGTATAGACGGTACCAAATTTGGTTTAGTTCCCTACAGTGCTCTCAAATTTAATGTTGTATCAAGCGGAATTAATTTCATTTTGCAACGTTAATGTTCTAACTAAACGCTTGCGATAACTCAGTAACGTATTCAAAACTATATTTGTCTTTTTAAAAAAAAGAAGAAAAACAAGCATGGACTGTCAATAGTGTTTAATAGAAAGAGTCGTACTAAATTTAGATTAAGGACATAACAAAAACACGACGTAAAACAATTTGCATTTCTGCGTTAAGTGTTTAAATTATTCAGCCTTACCCCTGCACTTCGTGTCTGAGTTTTTGGGATATAATATTACAAACTATTTTTTCCGGATGATCTATATTTTCCCGTATAATCCGATAAAGAATTAAGTTATCGGTCTTATCCCTCGCAAACAATTGCGTCCCGGAGACGCATCGATGAACGAAAGGAAAAGTAATTTAGAAATTGAATAATAGCGCGTTAAATACCCTAGGTTAATCCCTTAAAAGAGCGTATTAGAGACACCGTAGGTCAGAGCCGAGTAAATTAGGTCGAGTATAGGTTAGAAAGCAACGTTATGCTAACATATAACTTGAATAGTACAAACTCTTGATAGTGAGAAAAATATTTAAGGTTTTCAAGATCGGAGAAATTATCTAATATTTACGTCAGTCTTTTAATAAATAAGATATATATATATATATATATATATATATATATATATATATATATATATATATATATATATATATATATATATATATATATATGTGTGTGTGTGTGTGTGTGTATAAGTATGTGTGTGTGTTTTGTCATAATAAATGATAAACAACATTTGCACTTAGGAACATTCTATTATCTAATTATTACTGTCTTCATAGAGTCATTTAAAAATGCTTATCTTATGAAATGAAAACTGCCTATGACAATTGCGTACTTACTGCTGTGTTTCAAATATTTGTGTGTATGTTTTATACATGCACATACGTAAGAATTCTATAGATAGGTGTATGTGTGTGCATGTGTGTGTGTGTGTGTGTGTGTGTGTGTGTTGGGTTTTTAACGTAGCTTTAACAATTTCATACATATCGCTACGATGTCTACATTATTGCAGTTTATAGTGATGTCTAATACTGGGGCATCATGCCGCAGAAATATTGCATACTATCCAACAGCCTACCAGTCCTAACACAAACCTCTTAATGGTGAGCACCTTGCGAGGCAACTGTTAGAGCCATTTTTATATATCTTTGGTATGATTCGGCAGAGTTGAAACCCGCGATCTCATTTATCCGAGGCAGGCGCTCTAACCACTAGGCCACCGGAAGCGGTTTTTACGAATGAGAACCAATTCTCTATTTAGGTCTCACCGGACAGTTGTTTTGCCAAATTTTCATCCGACAATGACCTATTGCAGAAAAATGATCATAATTTTACAATAAAGATACAAATAAAAACTAACTAATGATTTTTGTTGAAACGATGCTTGTAAGATTCTGACTAAGGTATTAAGGTTAATTCCTTATGCAACTGGTGGTTTTGATACTGAACCTATACTACCACCAACCCCTCTTTTTACATTCATTTTTAACAGAAAAGAGCTATTTTCAACCTGTTCCTGTGAGAAGCAGGCTCACAGAGTCAGTATGTACCTTATTGATCTTGAAAGTTCACTAGTACTATAACAAATTAACATACTTTTCATCACCCCTCAACCATGTAGATTTTTAGATATTTACCTCTGAAGCAGACACATGTAAATACGTAAGCCAAGTCGGATGCACATTTGCAGACTAAGTTACGCATTTGATCTCCAGTGCTAGTCTAACTGTGACAGGCAGTCACCAACAAGGCAACCCATTTACAAGCCTAACTCAAAGTAAATGTAAACCACATTACAAATTTAGCTTATGTGTGAGTTTATAAATGCTAGGGTTGTGATAATCAGGTTCATGCCTTCTACCTTAAAAATTAGGGGGGGGGGGTCAAAATACGAAACTATCCAGTGAGACCTTAATAATTTAAATAGCAGTCTGATTAAGGGAAAATCTTCTTATTTTCAAAACATTAGGCAATTTTAAATAAAATGTAACCTTTACATGTGTAAAATTCAAGCTTGCTTGTTTCCTTTTGCTTATTGCTTTAATCGTTGAGCAAAAGCCATCAAACAGAACAACCACTATGACAACAGCTTCAAACTTCATCTATTACTTTCCCCACTGAAATATACCATTTCCTTATAACATGTCAGTTTCATCATTTTTCATAACCAATACAAACTGTATTATTAGTGCCAAGTGATATCAAAGACATCTGACAGCACAAATAATGCAACTCTTCATGAAATCTGAAGTTGTAGTGAATAAAAGCTGCAAAGGAAGCCAAGCTGAATCTCTTGTAAAATAGTTGCAGAATGTACATGCTAAGTACTTGAAAGAATAATAATGATGCACAGCATATATGAACTGACCAGTATTCCCTCCCTGATTTAATAAAGAAGGTCATATATGTGTTAAAAAAGAGAAATCAGAAGTGAATGTATAAGGGAGGAAACTCCTCAGCTAGCCCAAAAGTGACTGACCAAAGTTTGTAAACAGAACCAATTCATTTAGGAAACTTCAACAGTGAAATTCTATACCCAGACTCAGCACATCTGCTGAGTAGACATTATGTATGGAAAATGTAGTTTCAAACCTCTAAGGTCACTTTTGGGTCATTTTTATAATGGCCAACTTATATTGTTGCTGAAGATGCTGCGGACAAGTTTATTTTCCAAGTGATT